GATGAAATATTTGAAATAGATTCTTGCAACATACATTTATAGTCATTGCAACATATGCAACATCTCGATCTACTTTTACAACATTCATATGAAACACTTGCAACATACGTCTGAAACATCTAAAATAATTAAAACATACGTTTGCAACATAGGGAGAAGGAGAGGCCGGGGCCAGTCGATTCCGGCCGTTAGGGTATAAGCCGACAGCGAGCGAGCACCACCAGCACCGGTCGCACTCTTGGGTGCCCTTGGCTCGGCAGGGGCAAGGGGCAGCGGCGATGGCCCATGGTGGCAAGCCATTCAGACTGCGCTGGGTTGGGGAAGAGGCCGGGGAGGCGCTGCACAAACTGAGGAAGAAGGCGGCATGATTGACTTGGGTGGAGGAAGGAGGCAACGGTGGCGGCGTGTGGGGCTCTACTGCTGTCAACGGATGTGAGAGAGATCGAGAGATGGGGAGGACGAGACAGAGCAGGGAGATTTTTTTCCTGAGAGAGGTGGAGTGGGAAGCCGCGTCTGAGCAGACGTGGGTGGCGTCGAAGTATTTCCATTAAAAAAACCTTTTTCTCTCCTTCTCCACGCAGTTTCTTCCACTTGTTCCTGTATGACCATCTCCATTCTGTTCCTCAATGGTCCTTCAATCCCCTCCACTTCCTTTACAAATCAGCCACTGATACACAAAATTGGCCACAAATTAAGCTCGTGGTGGATCTGTCATACCTGCGTCCTCCACATCTCCCCACCTCTCCCACAAATTGAAACCAAAGCTCTCTCCCCTCCCACATATTCAACTGGATCTCCTCTTCATATGTGCATCACGTCAAGTTTTTTTAAGATAAGGGAGCCCAGACGTCAAGTTGAGAAGCCATCCAAGCCGAAGAAGATGATCTTGAGGAGGTTTACACAGAAGAAGAAGCAATCACTACGACCGAAAGGCATAAAGAAGACACATATATATCAATGACGCTATGAGGGTAAAACAATCGTCACAGATGTAGGATTAGAGATTCGTCTATCCACCACGGGTTTCTGTAAAGTTTGTACTCTAGGACCACACATAAACCATACCTGTCTAATAAATATAAATCAATATCAGAATATCGTCTATTCAGTAGCCGTCTTCAATATTTTGACGTGCCTCCTTGCAGCATCTTTCCTAGGAAACACATTAGAGACAGGTACACTCAGGACCTCTGTTCACTTAAACTTATCAACCCGACTTATCAGTTATGATATAATATTTTTCTCTCATAATAAATCAACATCAGCTAGCTTATCAACCGCAAATATCATCATCCAAACAGCTCGTGATGAATTGCTTATTTGTTCACAAGTCGAATCAGTGCTCGTGATGAATTGCTTTCTCACGGGGACGAGACCGCCGACCCACTCAGTGCTCGTGATGAATTGCTTATTTATTCACAGGTCGAATCGAGTTTCTAGCAGAATGCTGAAAAGCAAGTTGTTAGCTAGCAGAGCATGCGGTCTCCGCTCTCTAACGCTCATTTGTGTTTACCACCAGTGTTGCAGACTTTATGTTTTTTTTTTATTTAAGTCACTGGTGACACCTTTAGTCTCTTTTATCATTAGTTTCCTGGGTGAAAGGAGTGAAAATGCAAGGTATGCAGTTTTGCTTAATGTGTATAGTAAGGTATTCAGTTTTCATTTGTGTTTTCTTATTCAATCTTTTGCAGAACCGACAGAGCACATGGACCGTGGAAGAATTCACTCATCTATCCATCTTCTGACTGACGGCTTCAGCGGCATGTAAAAACTACACAAAGGTTAATGAGAATTAAGAATCAGCTACAAAAATTACACCTAGCTTTTAGTTACAACAATTCATGGCTTTACGATCCCATGAAGCTTCCATCCACCTAGACCAGCCAGAGAAAATGCCTGCATACCATGTCATGGACAAATTCAGTACATTCAGCTGGATGGTACATAAAACTATATTTGGGAAAAGATGAAAAGAAGCATGCTTTGGAAAAGGCCAATATTAACCTCAACCCATGATTTGCCTGCTGCTTCTAGCAACGCAGCATTACATGTCTCAAGCACTACTGAATCACCAGAAAACATAGAGGCGGCTTCTTCCCATCCTTTATTATGCCCCATGCACCTGAGTAGTAGTTATTCTAAACAAGTGTCATGATACGTCTGGCAATGAGATACATACAAATCTCAGATCTTAAAGGGAAAAATGATAGGAAGTCAAAGCATCCATTGAAAACAAATGATAATCAACGAAAACTTGTGGAAGACTCACATCACAGTTAAGATCTCATCACTCGAATATTCACAAATCGCCTTCTGCAAATGCTCTGCAGTTTGGCCATCCATTGCTGCAATTGAGTAGAAACTTGGGATGAAGTGCACTACTGCTTCAGACAATCCTTGGACATGCTCTTGCAGGATCTTAAGAGTTTCCTTTGTACGCATTGCATCACTGTGTTGAAGGAGAGTTATTATCAACGATAACATGAGTCGCACATTCTATTGCTAGGCATATTAATTGACCAAATCAAATTTCATTTAGTCATCTTCATTCTCCAGATAAACAAATTTTAAATAAATAGGTTAGAATCTGCAAATAAAGTTGGGCTCCAAGAAAGAAATAACATGACCAGAAAAGAAAGATGGTATTGTAATAGAGGTATTGAATTCTATAAGTGTTCATTCTCTTAAAAGCACCAGTTGCAACTGTGGCCAGAAAGGCAAGATGATGAGTAATAGAATAGCCTTTGCAGGGTCATTCCCGTTAAACACGGACATAGTACCAAAAAGGAATCAGGGCAACTATATATTTGACGAAACAGAAACATAGGAACACCAATATATGCGTATGCAAATGCAGGATAACCGTTCCTATAGGAAAATAAAGAGAGAGAAACAACAACAAAACAAATGAAGCAGAAGGTGGTAATCTGATATAAAAACTGAGTCAATAAAGAGACACTATACCTTTATTGACTTTTCAGGAAAGAAACATTAGAAAACTGAACAGATACAACAGAATTTGCAAAAGAAAAATGAAAAAAAAACAAATGCAAACCCATTCAGTTAGGTAACAGAGACTAATTGCACCATGAAGCTTTCATAATTTATATTGGTATATGGTAATAACTCATGATAATTGATTCACTGTCTTGCGTAAATTGGAATTTGGAACACACCTGCAGAGGATAAGCTCCGGTATCCATCCCATTTGTTGGAGTTTATTAGAAACGCTGATTGCGTCAGCTCTCCCAGCCTTGCTTAGAGGTCTGTCATGATCTGACACATCAGGACACAAATTTGGGCCAGCAACCACAAAGGAAAACACATTTGGGTCAGATCATAACAGCACCATACCACTACATTCAATCAATTAGTCTAAAACGCAGAGCTAGAGGCAACAGCTACAACATGTTAGTAGAAACGGCAAACAAGCACCACTATTCCTCTGCATCCAATGCTCCTTCCTATCCAGTTTGCAGTACAGGGTAAAGTTCAATCGACACACGGGGACTCTTGGACGCCGCCGTTTGAACATACCTCTGGTGGAGCGGCCTCGGGCGGTGCTCTCCCCGTGGCGGAGGAGGATGAGGCGACGGCGCGGCGTCGCGGAGGGCGCGCCCAAGACAGCCGGCTCCGCGGCGGCCGCCGGCGCATCGACGGAGACGGAGACAGAGCGGGCGACGGCCGGAGGCGGGCGGCAGGCGGGCGGCGTGCGGGGGGAGGAGAGGAGGCGGCGCGGCGGGGCCGAGGAGGGCGGCGAGGAGCAGCGGGAGAGCAGCGCGGGAAGAGAAGGAGCTGGAGCTGGAGCTCTCATCTTCCGGTGGCTATGGGTTGGGTTGCTGACAGTGACATGGGATGCTTGCTACAAGAGGGAGGGAGAAACCGAGAAAGGATAGGTGACGTTGCTCGCCTACTTGTTTCTACAAGCCGCTCGTGCGCCCTAGATTATGCTATTTTTCTCACTCTATCTATAAACATGCTGAGAAGAGAAATGCTTCATGTACAGAATGATTTGATCCCAATGATCATAAGTAATAAATTATCCAATTGACCATCTTAGAATGATTTGGTTGATCATAAGTAATCAATCATCCAAATGTTCTCAACTATTTGAGTTGCAGAGTTGTTCAAATTGGTTGTATACGTAACAAATAACATCACCCAGTGATGAGAAGGAAAACAACTTCGCACACTCATATTAGACAACATGTAGAATGACTTCAGTACTTCCACAATTAAAAGGAGTACAGAGCGAAAGCATTTTTTTTTGTAACAATTAACCTACCGGAAAAGCCATTGGGACATGACCAGTAAACAATGACATATATTGCAAGATATAGACTAATCCTGGATCAAAGAAGTATCCAACTCATCACATGCTGACATGCACAAACTATTACAAGGTAAGTACCATATCCCCGCGGAAGAAACACAACCAATCATTTTTTTTAAGAAGCAACTCTTTTTTATTTTTCTCTGAATAAGCATAGATGCATATTAGGGTTAAATAACATGGAGGTGAGAAAAACTACAGCATATACAGTTTACAGGCCAAACAGTGCTTAACAGCCTGCAGTAGTTACCAAACAAGGCCTTCGATTCTGGAAAAATGAATAGTCACCTCAGAATAATATCTGCTCCAAACATCTTCATTAACATTGAAAGAATCGAACACCTCAGCAGCCATTGCTCCCAGAATTTGAGCCAAATGCAGCTACTAGAATTAGAGCAACGAGCAATGGCCATCATGGAACCACATCCTGGCATTATTGTGATCCCAATATACCAAAAAAATTACTATATGCAGATAGCAGAAGATGATTGTGTAAACTCAGCTACGGGGGGGCAAACCCAGTGCCGTTGGATCCCATATGTGTGGGGTCTGAGGAAGGGGAAAACCGAGGCAAGCCTTCCCCCACAAAATCTGCGGAGAGGCTGCTTCGAACCCGCGACCTGGTGACTCAGTGAAACAGCTCTCATCACTGCACCGGGCCTGCCCTTCAGCTACCCAGCTTGAAGGCATCCACAAAAAGGCCCAGGCATACACCGGCTTTCCAGTAGTTCACCATTGAAATCAAAGATTGAAACCTGCCAGGAGGCCTGGTAATTGGTTTTCTGTACATGAACATGCCAATTCCCTCAATGGCAGCCACTACAACACCAGCAACAAGAACATCCCAGTCACCGGTCTGCCCTAGTATTGTTGCCAAGGCATTGGCTGTGTAAAAACCAAGGAGGACAAGGAATATCTTTGTTGGCGAATTTGTTCTGGCAGAGTTCAGCTTGTCAAGTAGCTCCCTTGCAGCAGCTTGGATGAGTCTTCCCAGTCTAGTCCTACCAAGAAAACCACTGTCCTCATCGAAGTCTTGGCCATCGGTGTTAGATGGCCCACCAGTCTCCAAGGCAAAAGTTGGCTTCCATCTGCAGTTTTTCAGCTGGTACCTAAAATAAAGTAGAGGTATCAAACCATTGTACTACTTCTCAGGGGCATAGGAATGATTCTCCACAAGAATGTGATAAAAAAGGGAACCATATATTCTTGTCTCAAGCTAATTTGATAAACCTTTGGTGATAACAAGCTGATAAAGTGTAAACTAAGAGTAGGAAACAATTGGTCAAAACTAAACTGATACTTTGTTAAAGATGCGTCACAATTTGTGATTCAAGCAAACTTTGATGACTTTAAACACTAATGCATAAAAAGACTATTTAATTGGCAATGTGAAAATAATATCACTAAGCCTTGAGTTGTGCTTCCATGCTTTAGATATCCTTCAAAATAAATTCTAGACATTGATGATTTGATTAAAAGTTGTAGTTGTTGCAAATAAGAAAACCAATGCATCAATGCTTTTTATCCCTATGGTCGAAATTGCATGCCCCAAAGCATATATTGTTTAGAAATAGGTTGCTTCTACTATTTTCATTTTCTTTATCTAAAACTGTTTTAAGCATGTAGTAGCTACCAGTGGCGGGGTTTGAACTAAAATTGAGAGTGGGCCAATCAAACTTCAGGCACTAATAGAGGGGGCTAGATTAGAAATTTGACAGCACCTAAGTGGTGGAATTAAGTGTTCCTTTAATAAACTTTCTAGGTTTAAGGGGCCCATGGCCCAATTTGGTCTACACAAAGCTCCGCCCCTGGTAGCTACACCAACTTACTTGGGACAATAAAAAAGAGGATTTTTTTTTTGTACCATTTAAGGACATAGTACAACACAGAGCAAGCAAACTAACTAATAACCACCAAAAAAATCCATAAAAGAAGGCAAGACTGCCTATCGCTGTAATCTAGATTTCATAATGCTTTACTTCTTGACATTTTCTTAATGCAGGTTTATGAATGCCATCAAGTTTATTTGTTCTGTTAACTATGATCAACCTAAAAGGAATTTCTTATGAAGGTTTATGTGATTTCGTTGACTGATTTTCATATTATGGACTTAAATACCAAGCTTAGGTCAAAAACTCAAAATAAATGGCAAATCACCATTTGATACAAGGTCCTGATAATAAATCAAGATGTCCACTGAAAGTTGCTACCCTGACGCTCTAAATCGAATCTCTTCAACTATCATCTGAAGCACAGACTCATTTTGTAGAAAATATTTGGAAGTGTGCGAAAACTTTCTTCTTGCTGTTGCTGCCCTTTTTGACCTCCGAGTTCTTCTTGTAAACAATACACTTGGTGATATGAAATGGCAATATTAGTGCAATGAGCTTATCAAATTTGCAGAGGTCATCATCTGCGAAACTTGTTTACTCCCCAACTGGATAGTCTTTTTCTGATTCATTTGGTTAGATGTTGGTGCTTTTAGACTTCTGTTTCATGTAATCGGGTTTGTAGAGGCTTGGGGTGTGTAAAACACTTTCAATGCTTTCTTTTGTAAGGCGGTAATCCCAGCAGACATATTGTGTTGCTTTCTATAACCCCGGACCAAAAGGTCTTTGGTCTAGAAATTTGCAGAGGTCACATAAATTGTAAGGTGTGTTTTCTATAAACAAATTGGTCAAACCATGGGACTACTAGTTGGGTGTGGCATCAAATCGAACTTGTGATGGGGACACAGAAATCGAGCTAAAGTTCAGCAACCACTGTTTAGAGAGCACATGCATGAGAAGTGGCGAGAGCTCACCAGAGAGCCCCTCCGCTCTTCTCCTTGGTCGGTCGCAGGAAGCATGCCCGGCGGATGGGGGCGCAGCACCGGCCCCCCACGCCCGCGGAGCCGCCGCCCCCACACAGCACACCGGCCAGAGGCCGCGGCGGGCAGGGAGGGGCCCCGCGCCGCAGCGGCATGGGCGGGGGCACTGCTCCGTGTCCAAGCCCGAGCGGACGAGGCGAGGCGGCTGGACTCTGGAGGAGTCGCGCGAGAGCGACGGCGTCACGGCGACGAGGGGATGAACAAGCTTACAAGCCTGCACTGCTGCACTGCTTACAAGCCTTCACGGCTTCACCGTTCCGGCGGCTTCCGGGGATGGGCCAGACGAAGGTGGAGTACTGGGCTGGCCGTACACGGCCCATGACGGAGATGGTCCTCTTCAGTAATGGGCCAGTGTATGACTGAGTTTTTTTTTGGAGTAATTTTTTCCGAGTAATATGTATGACTGAGTTGATTTAGCTTGATCGGGATAGTTGATCCAGCTTCCACCTCCGCGCTTAGCCTTGATCCATCATGTTCTCTATCTAATTGTAATGCAGGAGCACTTCTTCAAAAGTTAGTAAAACAGGGCTTTTCTAAATAGGATCTCATGGGAAAAATCTTTGGGCAACTCGTCCTGGCTCACTTGTAGCACCATATTCATTATGTTTGCATAAAGGAAGCCTATGTCTTCTTGTTTTTTTTTTCTGCGAACGCGCTTGCCACGTATTTCATTAAGAGGATAACCTATGTCTTCTTGTCACTTTAGAGAAACAAACTTGTTTAGTCTAAAATAACAAAATTGACACATCAGCTTACCTTGTACCACTTGTGCTTTCTTGTTCTAATGTTCCACGAAAACTGTTGTGCTAAACTTCTAGATTTGATCAGGTACGAAGCATTGCCCAAGCCTTTCTTCATTGTCGTCATCTCCATATCCTTAATCTTATTATCGTCACCTTCTATGCTGCCACTTCATGGACTTACTCCTTGCGTCTAGAGCAGAACATGTGCAAAACATTGCTATGATAAAAAAATCTTATGAAATTACCTTTCCAACGAGTGGTCATTCACCCGAAACGGATTCCGAACGAGGAGGTTATGCTGTTTTACTCTGGTACCACGTGCTGTCCAGATCTCATTTCACCACATTAGGTCTTGTTTTGGTACGCATGTATTCATCTCAATCCACATGTGTCAAAGTGGATTAGAGTGGAATTAAATTAAGCTTCATTTCAATCCACTCAAACACATGTGAATTGAAGTGGATACACATACATCTAAACAAGGCCTTAGTATTCTGATTTGCATGGATATACACCTTCCATAATCTCTCACGCGACTTTCATCGCCTCCCAGATTTGCATGGATGCATGCAGCAGGGACATTACAATTTCAGCCCTATCTGTCTTCCCTTTGGCGCACACTGACCCGGTGATCATTGATTACGAAACAGCAGTAGTACTCCAGGTCCAGGAGGCAGGAGTGCGCCGCATTCCCCACGCCATCGCCTCCTCCCCCACCCCCCACCACGGTCCACGGCACCATCATCGATCGCTCAGGCCGTCGTCTACATCGATCATCAATGTAATACGCCACTCTGAAACCCAGTAGCTAGGTTTACTCGGCCCCTCGTGATGGCTTCTCGCCACCACGGTTGCTCCAATTTGTATTGTTTGCTCCAAACTTTTCCTCTTAATGAAAAATGGGCAATATTCCCGATCGAGAAAAAATAGTGGACCATCGTGCAAGCCGTAGTTCAGCTCCTACTGGCCGTGGAAGATTAAAGGAAAGGAAGGGCGTGCAGCGGTCAGCGTGCGCCTCCGCCAGGCCCTTCCCACAACCGCCTCGCCGTTATCAAATGCACGATCAGTCTCCGCCAGGGCCTTCCATCGCAGCTGCAGCAATCCCTGGGGCCCTGACCTCGCACAATTCAGGCCACCACATCATCACCCGGTATGTCTCCCAATCTCGCGTGGTTGGGTACCCTGAACAAAAAATTCAAGAGCCATAGTTAGTTGATTGGGTCAGCAAAGAAGTAAGCCATATCATCAGAGCATGTTTATCAACTATCTTTTTTTAACATGTCTGTTTAACATCTCATTAAAGTATGAGTTTGGTTCCAACTTCCAAGGTTCTGACATAATCTGCTATTGAGTAAATGGCGTGAACAACTGCCCTGATGTGGTGTTCTCTTTTGCAGTCTCGGGGCAACTCCAACAGCTTCGCTATTCGTATACTGTGGAGGCTATTTTAGAATTTGTATAGCAAAAAGTAGACTCTAATAGATATGATATCTCGTCTAAAAAAATGTGTTATTTGACTTTGTAAAATAGGAAGTTGGCTATCACTTAATTTTCGGTGGCCATATATAGCTAATCACAGACGCTCGCTATCTGACTTTGTAAAATAGCAAGACAGTTGTGGATCTTTTCTTTTCTTTTTATAAGTTTTCTATTTTACAAAATGGCTAAGCAATAGAATTTGGGTACTAATTTTAGCTAAGCTGTTGGAGTTGCTCTTCCTAATCAATCACTTGCACAAATAGCTGATGTCTGCATCTACAACCAAAGCTGATTAAAAAAATATAAGCACATAGAATTACATAAAGCCATTGTACTCTATACATGACCACACCATGCTCCATATTTGAGATTCTAGGTAAGGGCTAGACTTTTTAAGATGCCCGTCTCTGAAACCGGCTATTAAGAGAAGTGGATATTATAAATGTGCCACAAATCGATTAACTGAGACAAGAGGCCCGCCTCTAAAAATAGTTGCATAAAAAGTAATTCATAGTTTTTCATATGAAGTTGAATGGATACAAACTTTATATCAAAATTTGTAGAGATCGACGTGATTTATAACTTTGTAGTTGGCAAAAAAAATATTTAAAACTATTTAGAGTCCCAAAAAATTTGTTTTAATTTCTTAGAATTTGAAATTTAATTTTAGAATTTTTGAATGATACCGAAATGTTAACATGATCTACACCAAAGTTATAGTTATGTACAACTTTGTAGTTGATAATTTTTTGATTTGATGAAGTCATTTAGAGTCCAGAATATGTGTTTGAAATTCTTAGAATTTGAAACAAGAATTTAAAAATTTCTAAACGACTGTGAATGTTGACATGGTTAGTACCAGTTTTGTAGTTAATAAAATTTTTATTTTAAGTCATTTAGAATTTTAAATATTTGTTTTAAGTTCTCATATTTTCATAACTAAAATTTCAAAAAATTTAAACAATCATGAGTAGAGCCACGCTCCGTATCAAAGCTGTAGTGCTTGACAATTATATTTAAAATTTTCTGTATTTGACAACATTTAGCTGTCAAAACAATTAATATAAGATTACGAAATGTTAATATAAAAGGATAACATCCTATACTTACAAGTGCATAGTGCAATGGTAAAGATGTCGGATGTGAGATTTGCGATGATGATTTCTAATTCTAGAAAGCATTTAACATGCCCGCCTCTATAAAATTGTATTAACGGAGGCTAGATTTGAGAAAATTTAGACCGGCCTAGCCCAGACTGAGCCCACTAGATTTTGGCCCGCTCACACACCATAGTGGATAGGGCTAGGCACAGATCTCGTTGTTCAGTCATCACAAAAAAATCTCGTTGCCCAGAAAATTTTTATCGTCCTGAGCCTAGTCCAAAATATTTATTTTATCTATTTTACATTGTAAACTACGCGGTTAAATGCTATGGTAGTTGTGCTGGTCAAACTCTTTTTTTTTAAGTTTGGCTAGACCATTAAGAAAAGGCAACATATCAGGTGCAAACCAACTAACTTGTGTAAACTTAGAAACTACCAATCAGGACCACTAGATACTGATCCAATGGATGGGGTGATAGGTGGAATTTTTTTGCGCTTAAGCCCCCCACCCGCCGGCCTTTTTTTTTTTGCGCTTAAGCTCCCTCACCCCATCCATTGGATCAGCATCTAGTGGTCCTGATTGGTAGTTTTCAAGTTTACACATATTGGTTGGTTTGCACCTAATATGTTGCCTTAAGAAAAAATATTAACAACATTTGTATCTCTAAGTTTATTATGAAAATAGATTCAAAGATTTATCTAATGATACTAATTGTGTACTATAAATATTAATAATTTCTTATATATATTTGATCAAAGTTTAAAATGCTTAATTTTTCGAAAAGCGAGAACAACACTTTATTTTGAAACAGAGGGAGTACATAATACATGGCAGCTCTAAACAAAGGATCGGATCGGAATCGGCTTGTATATGTTTCGTTGATTTCCCAATTCTAATAAAAGTTCATGGAAACCGAAAGCCCCATTAAAAATCAAAATCTTTTTATGGTACTTACGAAGAGGAGTTATATTGACCAACAATAATTTTGCTAAGCGTGACATAACAGTAACGTGTTGCTTTTGTCATAAAGATGAGACAATTAGGCACCTATTTTTTTCTAATGCCACTTAGCTCGTTCTATTTAGTCGATTATTCAGGTGGCTACTAGTAGACTAACAAAAACCCTACAGTGTTTTCTCACTTGTTTGGTGGATGGTTAGATGGTTATAGAATGATTCAGTAAAGAGTTAAAACCACTACCACTTGGAGTGGCTGCTACTTGCCGGTCACTTTGGCTTAATAGAAATGATATTGTTTTTTAAATATATATTGTTCATGTGCAGGTTATTTATTCAGTCATCCACTGGCTATGTACTTCAGCTATTCTACAGGCTTCTTATTAAGACTTGTTGTGGTGGTCTCGCAACATCTGACGCAGGTGGCCAAGGATATTTTCTCCTGCGCACAAGTGTGGCAATCTAATCTACTAATTGATTGTAACTGAATGTGTCGATCTCCTTTTATTTTTGGATTAAGTCCACTTTTAGCCTCTCAACTCTTGTGTTGGTCTAATTTTAACCATCAACTACAAAACCGTCTAGTACCGGTACCCCAACTGTCAAAACCGTTCACTTTTAGCACCTGGGCGGGGGCAAGGCTGTTTTGACCAACGTTGAGCGGTTTTGACCACGCCACGCTGGCGTTGGCCGCCATGTAGGACGCTGGCCTGCATCTCAGCGACATGTGGGGCCCGCGCCCACCGCGGATGCTAGGCTCGACGACGTCCACTTCACCGCCGCGCTGTCCCGCTGGCTGTTTGTAAGGTCGAGATGACGGACTAGAGGGGGGTTAAATAGTCTTTTCTAAAATTAATCGCGTCGGCTAACCGAAACAAGGACCTTTCACTGTTCCCTCCTCCCACGCCTTCGTCTTCGTCGACCGCCGAAGTTCGTGGAAGAGGACTTGCCATGGCGGTCAGTAAAAATCTCCGATGAACCGACCTTCCGCGGCTATAAAGCCAGCCATGGCCACCATCCAGGAGCGCCTCACCGAGCTCCATCTTCCTCTGCTCTACGCCATGCTCTCCTCTGACCCTCCTTCTCCTTCTCTCCCTTTCCTCCTCCTCCTCCACTCTCCCTGCTTCCCTCCCCCTGCTCACGCCGACGTAGCCCAAGACCGCCACGGAGTAGCCCAGCGCCCTCCATCGCGCTGGAGCCATGGCCCCGAGCCGTCCTCACGCTGCCACCCTGCTCTGCTCGCCCGCACCTGCCTTCCCATCTCCTCTGCTCCCTCTTCTCTCTGTAATCCCTCTGCTCCATGAACGCCACTGCCCTGCTCCATCTCGCTCGCCCTGCGCCCTCCTTCCCTCCGACTCCCTTTCTCTCTCTCTTCTTTCCCTCTCTTGCTTGCCCTCTCCCTTCCCTTGCTCTGGTGCTCGGGTGAATGGAGGGCAAGGTCGCTGCCTCCGCCCTCTCCGCCTAGCCGCGACGACCTTCGCGACGTCGGGGTCTGCCTTGCCGACCTCGCGCGCTCCGTGCGCGTCCACTTCTCCCAGGCTGGCGGGCGGCGCCGGTGGCTGGGACAACCCACCGCCTGCCAGGGCGCATGGACCGCCACCTCTTCCTCTGATGCATGGCGCGGCGAGCTGGGCGCGCCGCGGCGCAACGCGCAGATGATCGGCTTGCCCGCCCTGGCAGATTGACGTAGAAGTCCGGCGGAGGCGACGTAGAAGTACCGCGGAGGCGACGGACGATAAAGCGACGAGCCGGCGTCTCCTCTGCTTCCGGCCGACTGCGCCGCCGCCCCAAATCCGCCGCCTCTAAGCTGTCCCGGGCCGATTCCTTGGGCCACCAGCACCTCCTCCGCCCCGTCGACCTCTTCGACGCCTCATCCTGGGCCATTGAGCGCCTGAACGTTCTCCCGTCGACTCGCGAGCAGGGCGGTGGCGCTCGAGCAAGTTGCAGCGGTAGCGCGCGTCCACCTCATCCACCGTCACAAGTGGCGCCACCGCCGGTGTTGGCTACTTTGATCTCCCGCCCGCCGTCAACTCGTCCAGCAGCAGCTACGCCCTCAAGCCGATCCCCTCGCCGGTGGTGGTGTCGGCCGACCCGTCGTCCACGGACTCGACACGGGGGCCCAAGCGGATGCGGACTGGTGGCGGCAGCACGTCGTGTTCCTCTTCCTCGTCGTCATCCATGGATGGCGGTCGCACTAGGAGCTCTGTGGTCGAAGCTGCCCCACCCGCGACGCAAGCGTCCACGGTGGCAGCGCGAGAGGGAGGGGAGGGAGGTGATGAGTGGGCCCCATATGTTACTGAGATGGAGGTTGGCATCCTACGTGGCGGTTAATGCCAGTGTGGCGTGGTCAAAACCGCTCCACGTATGACAAAGACAGCCCTGCCCGCGCCCAAGTGCTAAAAGTGAACGGTTTTGACAGTTGAGGTATCACCGCTAGACGGTTTTGTAGTTGAGGGTTAAAAGTAGACAAACCCTATAGTTGAAGGGTCAAAAGTGGATTTAATCTTTTTTTTTCCTATGTGCCTCTTTGTGGTAATGCTTTGAGAATTTAATAAAAACTTCCTTTTATAAAAAAAGCATACCACTCTCGTACGTACGTGATCCCTTTCCATCTATACACAGGAGTAGATGGCGCAAGGGACTCCGCGCGCAATGTAATGTTATAGTCCGGAAGAAACAAATAAAAACAAAGAGAAGAGACAAGGGCGGCGGTGAAGGTGAACTGGTTAACCCCATGGCTAGCGCTAGTGGGGAGGAGAAGGCGGCAGGGCGCGTGGCGCTGCATCGGCTGTTCGCGTTCGCGGACACGACGGACGCCGCGCTCATGGCCGTGGGCGCCGTCGCCGCGGTGGCGAACGGGATGGCGCAGCCGCTCATGACCTTCATCTTGGGCGACGTCATTGATGCCTTCGGCTCCGGAACCACCGACGGCGTCGTACACAGGGTCGTCCAGGTACGTAATAACCTAGCCACCACTACATGATATTCTTCATCATCGTAGATTTGGAGTACGGAAGCAATACTACTTCCCCTAGGGTCCTAAGGTGTGCCCTTTTGCACTTTGTTTTTGGCCCATATATAAGACACATTTCGGCCCAAAGCTACTGTCAAACTAACCAGTAATTTTTTCTTCTAAAAAAAGTACTTTGCTCTTTTCACAAGTAATAAGAAACACATTTATACATTATCAAAAAAGAAACACATTTATACTACTGGTCATACACAACATGTACGTACAGTAGTACATGGGACATGGGTCAAATGATCGGTGCTTGCTTTGTCAGGGTAATGGCTTTGTCATCTTTACATCTTTGACCAAAGCCCCATTCTTGTTTCAGGTGATAATGAACTTTGTTTATCTTGCCATTGGATCAGGAGTAACTTCAACCCTCCGTAAGTGGATTTCCTCCTACCAAACTACGATATCATATCAACTACCTCTATAGGGAATTTGTCAAATATAGTAGATAATTATTGCTTTTGCTTATACCGAGTTCAGTTTTTTTTTTTGACTTTCTATTAATGACAGCATATTGTTACTAGAAACAACCCTTCTTCCATTTTGATAATTTGTATGTATTTCCCTAGAGGTATCATGTTGGACAATTACTGGAGAAAGACAGGCGGCACGAATCAGAGCCTTGTATCTCAGGGCAATTCTGCGACAGGATATTGCATTTTTTGACATGGAAATGAGTGCTGGGCAAGCGGTTGAGAGGATGGCAGGGGACACATTCCTCATTCAAGATGCCATTGGAGAAAAGGTACTATGCTTTGAGATTATATATATTATATGCAAGAGGTGAACTACAAACAGATAAACTGAATTTCTACGGTTTTAATAATATATCGACATGTACAACTACTATTCTAGTACTGAGTGAAGCTTACATGCAAAACTCTCGCTTTAATTTGGGCACTGTTTGATGCTACAGAGAAACTAAGTTCCTAATGTGTTTCTGCTCAAATTCTCTTTAGGTTGGGAAGTTCATACAGCTCCTTTCTACTTTCATTGGTGGCTTCATCATTGCATTCACAAGAGGATGTGTCACACCCAATTTTAAGGATAAAATTGAATGCACAAAACTCGTGTGTGTCCAGGAATCAATCACACACAAGCTGACAAATTACATAAAGTATCATCACGGTGTCTCATACATCAGAGTTAGAATAAAACTTAGTCCTATACATCACAGCGGAATAATAAAAAGATAATAAAACTCTCGTGGCCGTCATCACAGGGAGGGTCAACTGGTTGACCACAAGCCTAATAATCCTCCGGGAAATCCTCATACCCGTTGCCATCTGTTACCCATCCGGGATTTTTATCCAAGTAAAGAAAATAAACAAGTGTAAGTACATTCCGTACTTAGCAAGCTAACATGGGGTCATGAAGCTCAAAAGGTTAGACTCTGGTTTACTGCAGTTAGCATTTTTATTAGGTCAAGCTTTTATTCTCAAGTATTATCAAGTTATGCTTAAGCTCCCATTTAATTCCCATAAAAACATATATCGGAGACATATGTACCATATATCATCACTAAACAACTTTATAAGATCATCATCAAGTATCTAGTTATTCTGTGAGTTTTCCGGGCCGCTCGTAACCGTGAGCACGGCTGTTATAACAGTTTGTTACCCTCTGCAGAGGTGGTGCACATTCACCGCGAGTCGTGATCCCCATATGCCCGGGTTAATTACTCCCATGTCACTTCCAAGGTGAGCGGGCAGGGTACACTATGAAGCCATTTCATAGGTTTCCCTAACAAGTTAGGGCCGCTAGGTTTCCTTGGCAGGCAGATGTAGGAACCCCCATTTCCTATGGCACATATCCATCGCGGCTATACACATAGGAACAGAGGCAGCCCTATACCCAACGTGGCAAGCCCCATTTGCGCCAAAAAGGTAACCTCTAACTAGCTAGAAAAGGTCCTATTACTGAGCTAAAGTCAGAGCCATATGACTCTCCCGGTTGCACTGTCAGTCCCAGCTTTTGCCGACAGATAAGTCCTTATGGAGGGCCGGGAGCAACATGAACAAAGGTCATTTGCACTTTCGCCCTATAGAACAGTTATTATAAATCATGTTACTCACTTTGTTCCACAGGTATATCAAGTTCAGTTAGAGCACTAGCAATCTACCCATATGCATTTAACCCATAGGAGACAAGGAACAGGATAAACAATCACTAGGATGTCCTTACGGGTATCAAAATTAGACACATGCAAATGAGTAATTGATTAAAGTGAGATAGGACATCAAGGAAGGCCCGTGTTATACATGCCTTGGTTCACAAACTCTTGCTGGTCCTGCTGGTCGTCGAAGAATTCTTGGTCTCCAACGTTCTCCTCACCGTCTGAACGCGACCAACACGGCAACATACAACATTCCAAAGGCATTCATACAAAGCAAACAATCCTATAGTTAGAATAGTACACCAACGGTATAGGAAACAAGATAAAATGTTTATGAAAAGAATCTACGTCTCGCTACGATCACGTCAACGCGAAGTTCACGAAAAACGGAGCTAAAATGCGAAAGTTATGATTTAAACGGGTTTTCCTATAGCTATATATTTAATTAAATCTAATCATGAAATTAAAAAGTTCCAAACTTGACTAACAGTAGTTCTAACATGTAGCTTATGAAATTACGAAGCTAACGCGATTTGAATGGATCAATTCGGAGCTAAAACGACAATTTTATAAGCGAAACAGTTCAAATGGCATTTCTGTAAATACTGAAAGCGTACTTTTGACTTAAACCGTGGAGTTTACGCTTTCTAATCTAGATTGCGCATTCGAGGAAATACGTTTTGGGCTGCGGGTTAAGACTTAGAAAAGTACAGGGGCTCTTATGCAAAATCACCCGCGAAGGGGTATCTTCTATTCCTGGCCATTGATCTCGCGATGGGCGGCTAGGATCGGCCTGGGGGGGGGTCGGCCGGACGGAACAGTAACACCGGCGGCCAGGCGCCATGGCCGGCGGCGCGAAGGACTCGGTCGCGCGCGGATTAGGGCCTACGGTTCACCAAATTGACCACCGAGGGCACCCGGAGGTGGCGCGGGTTCATGCGACCTCGGCCATGCCGAGAAGACGGCCGGAGGAGAGGTCCGAGGCAGCGGTCGCCATGGCCGGCGAGCAAGAGCTTCCCGGGCGCACGCGAAACGGCCATACAAACCACCAAATGCCAAGGTAAAAGGTAGGGGAGAGAGAGGGGAGCAAGGGGATTCTTACCACGGGGATAATAAGGTCGGAGATGGCTCGGGGACGGCGGCTCGCGCACGGTGGATCCCAGCGTTCTTCGGCGGTTGCGGCTTCCGAGGCATGAGCGAGAGCGAAAAATGGAGCGGGGAGCAAGAGAGGGACGCGCGGGGGTTCGGCTTCGCTTAAAAAGAGGCCGGGGCGTGGGGAGGGGGCGCTCCCACGACACGCGTGGAGCGGGCGCGGTTGCGGCGTCGGTTCCGTGCGACTCGCACGCACGGACGGCGGAGGGGAACGCTACCGACGAAAGGGCCGAAGGCGGTCAGCGACTAAGGGAAGGAGGAGGAGGGCTTGGCGGCGATTATGCTGCGTCAAGTCGGGCTGGCGGGCTTGTTGGTTGAGCGAGGAGGCTGGCAATGTGGTGGTCAAGGTTGTTGCCGGGCGAAAGTATAAGGGAAAGGAAGAGGCGAATGGGCAGGGAAGAAAAAGGCCAGCGGAAGGAAGGGCCTGCGGGCCGAAACAGAGGAAGGGAGGGAATGGAAGGAAATTTCCTTTTTCTTTTTATAAATAAAATTTTCCAATCTCATCTTCAAAAGGTTTTTAAAATCTTTTAGCATTTGAAACAAAACCACCCATCATAGAAATAAATATGCAACAGCATGAATGCATCAACATGTTTATATCCTTGTATTTATTTTTTTTTAATTTCATAAAAAAATATTATTTCCTAAGTTCAAATTCCCACAAAATGCAAAATTAATTACTTTTTTTTTTTTTAAAAATATGCAAAATTTAGGGTGTTACGGGATGGCTCTTGGCCCTTGTTATGCTTTCAACCGTCCCTCCAATTGTCATTGCTGGTGCAATTGTTTCAAAGTTGTTGACAGGACTCTCCACCCGAATACAAGCAAACTATGGTGATGCTGGAAATGTTGTGGAGCAAACTCTCGGTGCCATTAGGACGGTTAGTGCTACTAGGAAACACTTTTTTTTTTGTTTATTTATCCATTTCCTATCATCACCAGTAACTTCCTGATATCGTGCTTACCTGGTTTATCTGTTTATGCTTATTTGAAGGTTGTTTCATTCAATGGAGAGAATCAGGCTATAACAAAATATAACACGTTCATAAGAAAGGCATATCAATCTTCTCTGCAAGAAAGTGTTGTAAATGGCCTTGGATTTGGTTTAATAATGGCAATCTTATTTTCAAGTTATGGGTTGGCTGTTTGGTATGGATCTAAACTGATAGTTGAGCGAGGTTATAATGGTGGCATGGTCATTTCTGTTATCATGGCTATCATAATGGGAGCAATGTAAGTTTCGTACACTGATCATGATCATTTAAAATTTTCTTAAATGAACAATGACAATGATGATAAGTGAACTATGTTTCTGTGTGGATCAGCCTCGACTCCGTCACAGTGACTGACTGTATCTATCTTCTGTCTAATTAAATGTAAAGTGTACTATTGCGCTTCCAAGGAAAACATTTGTGTAACTTGTGATACCAAATAAACTTCCCGATAAGGATTAAATCACGCATCTTTCAGACAAAATATTCTGTATCTATTTTTAAACCGTTCATTATATTTACTGATCTCGGTTATATATATACTTCTCTTCTGCAGGTCCTTAGGTCAGACAACACCATCAGTAACAGCTTTCGCAGAGGGTCAAGGAGCAGCATATAGAATGTTCAAGATAATTGAACGCACGCCAGATATTGATATAGATGATACCACAGGTATCATATTGGAGGATATCAAGGGTGATGTTGAACTGAAGGACGTGTACTTCAGCTATCCCACCAAGCCTGAACATTTGATTTTTGATGGATTCTCGTTGCAAGTACCAAGTGGAACAACTATGGCCCTAGTTGGTGACAGTGGCAGTGGGAAATCAACCGTAATCAGTTTGGTGGAAAGGTTCTATGATCCACAGGCTGGAGAAGTCTTGATTGATGGGGTTGACATTAGAAGAATGAAGCTTGGATGGATGAGAGGAACAATTGGTCTTGTCAGCCAAGAACCAGTGTTATTCTCAACTACAATAAGGGAAAACATTGCCTACGGAACAGAAAAACTAACGCTTGAAGAGATCAAGAGAGCAATAGAGCTTGCTAATGCTGCTATATTCATTGACAAGTTACCAAATGTACAAATGAACTATTACGTCCATAATAATGTTTACCTAGTTGCTAATTTTCTGCTACTCCCATTATTAATCAATATATCTCGTGAAACATCACAGGGTCTTGACACAATGGTCGGGGAACATGGAACTCAACTGTCTGGAGGGCAGAAACAAAGAATAGCAATTGCTAGAGCAATCATAAAGAACCCTAAGATCTTACTACTGGATGAAGCAACCAGTGCGTTGGATATGGAATCGGAGCGGGTAGTTCAAGAAGCATTGAATAGGATAATGGTTGAAAGGACAACAATTGTTGTTGCTCATCGCCTAAGCACGGTGAAGAATGCTGATGTGATATCTGTCCTACAGCACGGGAAGATGGTGGAACAAGGTATACCCATGTGAAAAAATGTTCAATTAAAAAGTACATAAGTGGATATATTTGCTTATTAACATTTAGAAAACTTATTTCTATGTAGTTTCTATTTTCAGCTATCCTAACTATCATTTCTTCATTTTGCAAACTGCTCAAATTTTTTATTATAGATATAGATACATAGCCATTTTCCCACATGCTGTAATAGCCATAAATGTCAGAAAGATCCCCTGTGTGCCACTGAATCTCAGCGAAATTCCTTATGCGCTACTCATTGTCTCAATGACATGTGGATCCCAGAAAAGGAGTAGCTAGTAAGGAATTGTGTGAACCTTCAGTGGCATATGGGGAATTATCCTAAAAAAGTGTTATTCCTTTTGTTCAACTTGAAAGTCAACCTGCAAACTAGGTAGATAATAACGTGGTAGTTGTTTGTGTGAATTCTGAGCAGGTTCACATGTTGACCTGATGAAGATACCTGGAGGTGCTTACTCTCAGCTGATTCATCTACATGAGACTCAACAAGAGGCAGAAAACGTCCACCCTGATATGAAAATTACAAACAGTTTTGGCTCCAGATCTATTGATAGCAAACCAAGGAGTAAGGCTGGATAACGAGCTGGCTCGGCTCGTTTGGGCTCGGCTCGTTCTGGCTCGTTAAGATAACGAGCTAGCTTGGCTCGGCTCGTTATCCTAACGAGCCAGAAAGCCAGCTCGTCTCGGCTCGTTAAAAGCTCGAGCTGGCTCGTTAAGCTCGCAAGCCAGGTATAAAAAATACACAAAATATAATATTTGCATTTATCTAAAGTTTAAAAATAATAATAATACAAAAGAAATGCATTTAGACTAGTTACCAGTCAATTTATAGGGTCTAGACCAGTTACCAGTCAATTGTAAAGTGTAAGACATGAAGTAATACAAAAACTAATACAAGTTTTGATACTTTTTTTTCCTGAAAGCTTGGCTCGTTTAGCTCACGAGCGGCTCGCGAGCTGGCTCGAGTTGGCTCGTTATAGCTAACGAGCTAAAATCTTGGCTCGGCTCGGCTCGTTATGATAACGAGCCGAGCCGAGCCGAGTCGAGCCAGCCACGAGCCGAGCAAGCTAACGAGCTTCGAGTTTTTCGTCCAGCCTTACCAAGGAGTCAAAGTATTTCCAGGAGATCAACCAGTAAAGTTTCCTCTTTTGGGCACTCTATCCCTGCTCCACTTGGCTTACCTGATCCAATGGAAATTAGTGATGCTCCTGACATAGAAGAAGCTACAGACAAAGTGTCTAGCTCTCAGAAGAAAGCTTCGATTGGCAGACTCTTCCATCTGAACAAGCCAGAAACTTTTGTTCTTGCACTTGGTTCTATAACTGCTGCCATGCATGGTATTATGTTTCCTATATATGGCATATTGATTTCAACTGCGATAAAGGTGTTCTATGAGCCACCTGAAGAACTACTGAAGGATTCCAGATTCTGGGCAAGCATGTTTGCTGTGCTAGGCGCTTGCACATTTGTTTTGATTCCAATAGAGTACTTCCTGTTTGGACTAGCAGGTGGAAAGCTTGTGGAGCGCATACGTTCAATGACGTTCCGAAGTATAATGCGCCAAGAAATCAATTGGTTCGATAAACCAGAACACTCGAGGTGTGTGTTTAATCTTTTTCCTCATTGTTATTCAGAGATATATGACTATGAATCAGTATCTTAGTGCTGCTCCTAGTAGAATTAACAAATATAAGAACATTGGCATGTATTATAAAAAACAATACCAGTCGTCATTCATGTGTTTATTTATGTTTCAATTCTACGAAAAGTTTAAATGTTGTTTGATGAAAGGCTATATATGCTTGCAAGCACTGTTGGCCCTTGGATCTCCGGCACGGGTGAGCCGACCGCTCACTGACGTTGCCGACCACACACTATGGCTAGAGGTAGAAGAAGGAAGGGAGAACAGAGCGTGCACACACAGCACAAGCAGTAGCGTTGGCCGGAGCTCTGTAAAGGAGATGGCAAAACTGAACTCGCGCTCTTTACCGAGTTGCAGTGGGAAGCTATATATACAACTCTACCCATCTAATACTATTACACAGACATGTCAGGCTGCCATGCTGCTATAGTGACTAGATGTGACAGCAGGGCTGACTTCGGCGCCTGCCCCTGCTGTGGCTACAATGCGGCAGGGGAGCCTTTCGGCGCCTGCCCCTGCAGCGACTACAGTGCAGCAGCAGGGAGCCTTTCGGCGCCTGCCCCTGCAGCGACTACAGAGCAGCAGATTACTTAACAATTCTTCCCCTAATCTTGCTGCTAACCCTAGAACCCCCTCCATGCCGATTATCTTCTTCAGCTCCGTGAACCGAAGACGGCCGAGCGGCTTGGTGAGGACGTCCGCGAGTTGCCGACCAGTTTCGACGAACTCGATGACGATCTGCCCTCCATCGATACAATCCCTGAGGAAGTGGAACTTGACGTTGATGTGCTTGCTCCGGTCGTGGAGAACCGGATTCTTCGCAAGGGCGATGGCGGGCTGGTTGTCCACCATCAGTGCTGGTGGGTGAGCTTCCACACCGGTCAGCTCGCCCAGCAGCCGGCGTAACCACACAGCTTGGCACGCCGTTATGGCCGCCGCCACGTACCCTGCCTCGCACGTGGACAGCGCCACCACCTTCTGTTTCAGCGACAACCATGAGATTGGAGCCAACCCGAGGAAAATGAGCACGCCAGAGGTACTCCGCCGTCCGTCGATGTCCCCCGCCTTGTCTGCATCGCTGAACACAATGAGCTGCAGCCCACTTCCACCGGTCTTGGGGAAGACGATCCCCTGATCCACCGTCCCCTTGATATAGCGCAGCAGTCGCTTCACCGCAGCCCAGTGATCCTCTCGGGGATCCTCTATGAAGCGGCTGACGTAGCCCACGACAAACGCAATGTCCGGCCTCGTGTGGACTAGGTAGCGCAGACCGTCGACGATGCTCCGGTAGAGTGTTGCATCTACCTTCGTCGCGGTACTGGCCTTTGTCAGGTTCAGCCGCTCCTCCATCGGAGTCACGCACGGCTTGCACTTAGCCATGCCGCTCCGCTCCAACAGCTTCAAGGCGTACGCGCTTTGACCGAGCGTGAGCGCCTTCTTCCCCTATCTCACCTCGATGCCGAGGTAGTAGGAGAGCGCGCCGAGATCACTCATTCGAAAATGAGTCGCCATCTCGCGCTTGAAGCTATCGATGTCCTCCGCACGCGTGCCGATGACGATCAAGTCGTCCACATACACGCCAACGATGAGCTCCTCCTTCCCTCGTCGCTGCGTGTAGAGCGCGTGCTCAGTTGCGCACCGCGTGAACCCAAGCTCGCCAGCGTGACGTCAAGCTTGGCGTTCCATGCTCGCGGGGCCTGCCGCAGCCCGTAGAACGCCTTGCGCAGTCGGAGCACCCTGTGCTCTGCCCCCTTGACTACGAAACCCGAAGGTTGCCTGACGAAGACCGTCTCCGCAAGCTCGCCTTTGAGGAAGGCCAATTTTACGTCCAGGTGATGGACGCGCCAATCCTTCGCTGCTGCCAAAGCCAGCAACAGTCGGATAGACTCCATACGTGCTACCGGCGCAAAGACTTCCTCGAAGTCGATGCCCTCGCGCTGGACAAAGCCTCGGGCGACGAGGCGCGCCTTGTGCTTGACAATGGCGCTGCGCTCGTCCTGTTTGACTTTGTACACCCACTTCAGGCCGATCGGATGGCATCCTGGAGGTGGATCGACGAGCTCCCAAGTCTCATTTTCCTCGATCGCTTTCATCTCCTCCAACATTGCCCATCACCAATTTGCATCGCGCTCGGCCAGCGCGAACGTGGGTGGTTCCTCTGCACTGACGAGAAGTAGCTCTGGGTCATTAAGCAGTCGACCCGCCAGGCTTGAGGGCCCTGTGCCACCAACGATGTCGTCCAGCCTGTGGAACTGCACCTCCTCACCGTCGTGGAAGGCATCCATGAACTCAGTGATGTTGCTTGAAGGTGAGGCGAACTCGATCGGCGTTGATGGAGTTCCCTGTTCCGCCGAAGTGGTTGGCACAGCGGCACCCCGGCTGCAGTGCTCGGCACTACTCCTGAACTACTCGTCACCACTCCTGGAGTGGTCGCCACCACTGCAGGAGTGCTTGGCACCAGTCTTGGAGTGGTCGGCACCACTGCAAGACCTTTAGGCTCCGCCACGGGAGCGTTTAGCACCCGTCCTAGAGTGGTCGGCACCACTGCTGGACCGCTTGGCACCACTTCTGGAGTGCTCGGCACCCCTCCCAAAGTGCTCGGCACCATCCTAGGAGTGCTCGACTCTGTTGCTGGAGTGGTCGGCACCTCTCCAGCGTCTCCACCACCGTGGATGACCAAATGCTTGACGATGAAGGTGCTGGTGAAGCCGCCAGCTTCCCCCGTGCCCGGACTGTCCTAGTCCTAGGCCGCCTTCTCGTCGAACACGACGTTGCATGAGACAACCACCTTACCTCATAGAGCCGGTACGCCTTGGTACCTTCTGCGTAGCCCAGGAGCACCATCGGTGTGCTCCTGTCCTCCAGCTTGGTGAGGACCGGCTTCGTCTTCCTGACGTGGCCGATGCAGCCGAATGACCTGAGGAAGGATATGCTCGGCTTACGCCCATACCAAGCTTCGAACGGCGTCTTGCCCTTCAGGGCCTTGGTGGGCGTGCGGTCGAGGATGAACACCGTTGTGGTCACCGCCTCACCCCAGAACCTTACCGGCATGCTCTTGGCCTTCATCATGGATCGAGCCATACCGACCACCGTCTGGTTCTGCCGCTCCACCACGCCATTCTGCTGTGGCGAGTACGGCGTGGTGTGGTGTCGCAACACACCCTGATCCGCGCAGTACGCCGCGAACTCCACCGAAGTGAATTCGCTGCCGCGATCAGTCCGCAGCACGCGCAGCTTCTTGCCACTTTCCGCCTCCGCACGCGCCTTGAACTTCTTGATTCGCCTCCACCGCCTCGTCCTTGCTCGTCAGGAGTTGCAGCCACATATAGCGACTGCAATCATCCACGAGCAGGAGGAAGTACTGCCGACCACCGTTTGTGGCTGGCGTGATTGGCCTGCAGAGATCGTCGTGGACGAGCTTGAGAGCGTCTGCCGCGCGATACTTGGCCGCCTTTGGGAACGACAGCCTCCTCGGCTTCCCGGGCAGGCAGCTGTCACACAGCTTGCCTCCGTGCTTGATGTGAGGTAGCCCTCGGACCATCATCTCCAGCCGACCGAGCGCGTTGAAGCTGAGATGACTGAACCGGGCATGCCACAGCCACGGCTCCTTGGTGTGCCGTGCTGCTAGGCACACCGACTGCTCCACCTTTAAGTCGAGCAGGTACCATTGATTACGTGAGCATTTTACCTTCTCAAGAAGATGCTGCTCCCGATCCTGAATCTTCAAGTTCCGCTCTCGATCAGTACCTCGCATCCGCGCTCGTCCAGCTGCCCGATGCTGACGATACTTGAACGCAGTTGCGGAATGTAGTACACATCCGTCAGCGCGCGGTGCTCACCGTTTAGGCACCTGGAGATGATGGTGCCGAGCCCTCGGATCGCCACCCTTGAGCTGTCACCGAACTTCACCGCGCCGGTCACGTTGCCGTTGAGCTCGGAGAAGGCTTCCTTGGAGCCCGTCAAGTGGTTGCTGGCGCCGGAGTCCAGGTACCACCGCTGCTCCTGTTCATCGCCCACACGTCCGAGGTGGACATGGGCGCGCTGTTCGTCGAGGTTGACAGCCTTCAGAGCCTTCCCAGGCCCTTTCACCGCCATCACCTCTCCCTTCTCCTTGGCATCATCATCATCATCAGCCTGCGCCAGATGAACCTTAGCCTTCTTCTCCTGCTTGCGATTTGGGCACTCCTTTGTCCAATGACCCGACTTTCCGCAGCGCCGGCAGACGTTGGGGTCGACCTTTTTCTTCTTCCTCTTCTCCGAAGAAGCCTTGCAGCGGCGCTTGCCATGGCCACCGCGGCTGGAGGAAGCTTCCCTGGAGTTCCTCCGGGCAACCCACTCCTCTGTCAGCAGCAGCTTGCCGCTGTCCGTCGTTGATGTGACCTGCTCCATGTACCCGTCTATCGCCCGCAGACGGCCTGTCACATCCTCAATGGTGAGGGTGGACAAGTCCAGCATCGTCTCTATGTAGAGAACGATCTGGATGTACTTCACCGGCACAGAGTGTAGGTACTTGGAGACCGCATCCTCTTCGTCGATGGTGACGCCGTGGCTCCTCAGCTTGCTGATGAGCGACTGCATGCGGAGGGAGAAGTCCTCCATCGATGCACCATCCTTGAACTTGAGGTTGGCATACTCTTGCTTCAACAGCTGGGCCGTCGCCTTCTTTGCGCGGTCGGAGCCGACGCACATCGCTGCAATGGCCTCCCACGCCTCTTTCGCAAAGTTCTTCGCCCCAACGGCTCTCTGTACTCCGCTGGCACAGTAGCGAGGATAGCCTCGAATGCTGACATGTCGTCTTCTTCGTTGTCGGTGCCCTTGTCAATGGCATTCCAGAGCCGTCGGGCTCTGAGCTTGACCTTCATGGTCACCGCCCACTCGCCATAGTTGGTGCGAGTCAGTGTCGGCCAACTGGTGTCGCTAACCTCCCGCACCGTGCGCACGACGACCTCCTGTCGTGGCTGGGCAGCCACAACAGTGCCGCTGCTGTCGCCCATCTCCAAACCGTCCGTCATTGCCAGTGGTTAGTTCGGCGACGGCGCTTGTATGACTTTGATACAACTTGTTGGCCCCTGGATCTCCGGCACGTGTGAGCCGACTGCTCACTAACGTTGCCGAGCACACACTATGGCTAGAGGTAGAAGAAGGAAGAGAGAACAGAGCGCACACACACACAACACAAGCACTAGCGTTGGTCGGAGCTCTGCAGAGGAGATGGCAAAACTGAACTCGCTCTCTTTATTGAGTTGCAGTGGGAAGCTATATATACAACTCTATCCATTTAATTCTAGTACACAGACATGTCAGGCTGCCATGTTGCTAGAGTGTCTAGATGTGACAGTAGGGCTGACTTTGGCGTCTGCTCCTGCTGTGGCTACAGTGCGGCAGGGGAGCCTTTCGGCGCCTGCCCCTGCAATGGCTACAGTGCAGCAGGGAGCATTTCGGCGCCTGCCCCTGCCGCGCGTTCACACAGGGGAGGAGCAGATTACTTATTACTGTAAGCTTTACTCATACCGTAACTCTTCATATTCTATCAGTGGATCAATTTGTGCAAGGCTATCGACTGATGCTCTGAATCTGAAGCGACTAGTTGGAGACAATTTAGTACTTAATGTCCAGACTGCATCAACTATCATATCAGGCTTCACCATAGCAATGGTGGCAAACTGGAAGCTGGCACTGATTATCACAGTTGTGATCCCTTTTGTGGCTTTCCAAACCTATGCTCAGATAGTGTTCCTGAAAGGTCTCAATAGTAATGCAAAGGTACAGGACTAAGGTGTTGTTTATACAAGCATTTATCATATTGCAATCTGTTTCTATTTCATTTCGTCTAACTGTTTGGTGGGGTGCAGTTGAGGTATGAAGAAGCAAGTCAAGTAGCAACTGATGCAGTTGGTGGCATCAGAACTGTAGCGTCTTTTTCTGCTGAAAACAAGGTGGTGGACGCCTATGAGAAGAAGTGTAAATCTCCAAGAAGGCAAGGGATAAAGGAAGGTGTTGTTGGTGGCTTGGGGTTTGGCTTCTCATTCCTTGCTTTCTACCTCACGTATGCTCTGTGCTTCTATGTTGGTGCAAAGTTTGTTCAGCAAGGAACAGCAACATTTCCAGAAGTGTTTAGGGTGAGATGAATTCTTATCTATTCCATATACAGTTTGTCAGTACACATGTTATTGGTTAACTATTATCCAATGGCTGGCTTTCAGGTTTTCTTCGTATTAGCTTTAGCTACAGGTGGGGTCTCGCGAACAAGTGCAGTTGGGGCAGACAGCGCCAAGGCTAATGATTCAGCCATCTCTATCTTTGAAATTCTTGACCATAAGCCTAAGATCGATTACAGCAGCGAGGATGGTGTGACCATCACAAGTGTGAGGGGTGACATTGATTTCCAGAAAGTCTGCTTCAAGTATCCATTGAGACCGAATGTTCAAATCTTCAAGGATTTGTCATTGAGAATTCCTTCTGGAAAGGTTATTTTTTGTTGAAGTTTAGATGTATCTTACATATTTCATCTGATGCATATATAACTTAATTTCAATGACATTATCCTTGTAGACTGTTGCACTGGTAGGAGAGAGTGGAAGCGGGAAGTCGACGGTGATTGCCCTACTCGAAAGGTTCTATGACCCAGAATCTGGTAAGATCTTTCTTGACGATGTGGAACTTCAGGCCCTCAAAGTTAGCTGGCTTCGACAGCAAGTTGGGCTTGTTGCACAAGAGCCAGTGTTATTCAATGACACAATCCGCGCCAACATAGCGTATGGGAAGCAAGGGGGAGTATCTGAAGAAGAGGTCATTGCTGCTGCTGAAGCAGCCAATGCGCACACGTTCATCGCCGCACTGCCTGATGGGTACAACACCATCGTTGGTGAAAGAGGGAGCCAATTGTCAGGTGGGCAGAAGCAGCGTGTTGCCATCGCAAGGGCCATCATAAAGGACCCCAAGTTACTACTGCTGGACGAGGCCACAAGTGCGCTAGATGCCGAGTCAGAGCGAATGGTTCAAGAGGCGCTCGACCAGGTGATGGTTGGTAGAACCACCGTGGTGGTGGCACATCGCTTATCAACAATCAGAGGTGCAGATATCATCGCTGTTTTGAAGAACGGGGCAGTTTTGGAGAAAGGTAGGCATGAAGAACTAATGCATGTAAAGGATGGAACCTATGCCACACTTGTTGAGCTCAGTTCTAGTTCTGCATGACCTGAAAACCAACATAAACATGGATGGAATAATCGGTAAAAGGGTGCTATATTCAAGTTCCTACTTTAATTGAAGTTGATTCCTACCGCCACGGTGGCAGTAGTATATTATGTACGCGTATGTCTGCATAGATCATGGATAACTAGTTAGTTTTCTCAAACTCAAACACGCCCGTCATTGCATTCAGATAGAAAAACAATCCGATTCCACGGCAAGGGTTAGTTTTTAGGACATTCGTGCCCTTGGCCGATAGAACAGCCAAATCCATCTTCCTAACTCGGAATCTCCCTGAGGGCCTTAGCACCGGCCATAACCCACAACACTACCTGCTCGCTAATCTCCTGTACCACCGCTCGGACATCAGGGGCGTAACCATAAAAAACGCAGTGGTTCCGATGCTTCCAAATCGTCCAAGCTGTTAGGATTACATGAGAATGAGCACCTTTGCGCTTTGTCTTTGGGGTGCACCGCGCTGTCATGCGCCACCAATCTTGGAATACGTCGTAGTCGGGCCTCAGGGCCAAGTCCTGCAGCCCCAATCTGCCAAGCACCGAGGCCCAGACCTGGCGTGCGAAGACGCACGATGTGAGCAAGGGTGCTGTATGGATTCTTCCTCTTGATCGCACAACAAGCATCTGAGAGGATGCTGCAAGCCCCTGCATGCCACAAGAACATCATTTCAGCGACGCCCCATGATTTCCACATTCTCTTGTACGGCTCAAATGAAGTGCTGCCAACAAAGAAACGCTTGTACACCGCGTCATGTACATCCCCGAGGAGTATGGGCACCAAATATGTTGATCAGGTTGGTCGTTCCAGAGTTGGACCTCCTCGATTGCATCCCAAAGGTGCCGGTAGTCGACAATTGCGGACACCGAAAGACCTCCTCCAATGCCTCCAAGACTCCAATCCAATCCAGGTCCTATCTTGCAAGGCCTCCTCCACAGTTCGCCGTGAGCGGGGCCTCTTGGAGAGAAACGAGAACAGGGCCCGTGCTAGGTCTTGGACGGATTTCCCGTGTAACCAACGGTCTGTCCAGAACTTGGTCGACTTGCCGTCGCCGACTCGTTGGTGGTCGGCCTTGGAAAGCTCCCGGATGGAGAGTGGGACCCCAGGTACTTGAATGGAAAGTTGGACAGCTCACAAGGCATTGTGGCTGTGTAGTTTCCAAAATTTTGCAAAATTTTTCAAGATTTTCCATCACATCGAATCTTTAGACGCATGCATGAAGTATTAAATATAAATAAAAAATAAAACTAATTACACAGTTTAGATGAAATTCACGAGACGAATCTTTTAAACCTAATTAGACTATAATTGGACACTAATTGTCAAATAACAAAGAAAGTGCTACAGTACTATTTTTCAAAAAATTTCACCAAACTAAATAAGGCCATTGTCGCAGCCACCAGTTGAAGCTCTGCCTCCTGACAGCGGATTGGGATCACCGCACTCTTCTGCGTGTTGGTTTGCAGGCCTGAAGCTTTCCGAACAGGCGCAAAATCTGTGCACTTTGAAACAACACGCCTGTTGGTTTGTTCCTTGTGAGCCTTGTGTGCTGTTGACCTGTCCATGTCCTGCTGGTGTACCAGGGAAATTAGGGATTGTTTCATTTTGTTTTTCGTTGTCAGTGGAACTCCAATTTATTGAGTGCTCATCATGAAGAATATCAAATTTATCGATCTCCCACTTCAGAATCAGAAGTCGTTCAGTCGCTTCTGTACAAAATACAAGTGGCAGGATACATGTTACATTTTGAGGATATATTTTTGACATTACATCTTCATCAAGTCAGCTGTCGTGAACAAATTTGCTTGTTATGCATATCAGTGCCTGAATCCCCTTAGCAATAAGGTTGACAATATCGCTTCACAAAAATAAGGTTGACAATACCCAAATGAAAACCAACCTAAACATATATTATGCCCTACCCAGCAGATGACTTTATGACAACTTAGGAATTGATTTGTACTCCATTCCAAATTATAAGTCATTTTAATTTTTTTAAGATTCAAGCATCTCAAGTTTGACCAAAATTATAAAGAAAATTACAAAGATTTATGATATTAAATAAGTATACTATAAAAATATAATTAATAAAGAATTTTAATGATACTTATTTGATATCATAGATATTATTATTTTATTATATAAATTTAGTCAAACTTAAGATGCTTTAACTCTCCAATAAAATTAAAACGACTTATAATTTAGGATGGCGGGAGTATTTTTGGACACGGGTCCCAACAGACGAAGGTACACAGGCTGCGGTCCCATGCTCCAAACTACTTAGGAAACGTATTAGCTTAGGCTGGGCAAAATTATTTTAGATCATCAAGTGCATCTTCTTCGTAACTTATAACTTGCGTATATGCAGCTTGCAACAATATGTGCTCATAATCCGTACTTTTCAGCTTTTTTTTTACTCGTAACAGTATTTTTCTCTCATAACAAATCAGCCGAAATAATGTTTTGGCTGGTTTTTTCAGCGAAGCGAACGGGACCATATATGCTATTCGGACGGCCTCAATGTCCAAAATGACCTACATATTTATGGAGTTTGAGAAAACATGTAAGGCTATCTTCAACAACAACACCCAAAATACAAGATTTATTTGTCCTTTGGGTAGCGCTACATGCAAAAGGTTCAATACCTATTCGGCATCTTCTCCAACAACAAGACCTAAAAGAGAATCCTTTCTGCAAATGGGTTTTCAAGAGAGAGGATGCCCATATTTGGGTTGTGTCTCTCAGGCAACCCAAAATAGGTCTCCCGTATAGGTACTCTGTTGGAGACTGATTTTGAGTCTTTTGCTACCTATTTTAAATTTGGATGCCCATATGGATTTCTTGTTGAAGACAGTCTAAGGTACCTTGGCTTGTTGAGTATTAAATTAATGGCGGAAGTGCACATCGGAGAAAAGCATACAGTAGCAACGCCAGCCATGAGAGGTTATGTCTAAGTCTCTGCAGGGACAAATTTGTCTTTGCAAAAACATAGACTTTATCTTCGCGATAGAATTGGTAAGAGAAGAAAATCTTCTGGGAGTAGAGAATCTTCGAGAGTTTTTTTAAAATTTTCTCTTTAAATCATTATTTAGAGAGTAATTGAGTAAAAATTGATTTCTATATCTTTATACACTCCAACGGCTTTTCTTTATGGGAGAGACTAGCGTCCAGATGTCCGGACGCCCGTGTCTGCTGCCCGCCCGTTTTCAATAATTATACCCTTGGGGCGCACTGCCACACTCATGGATACAGCTTTGTGCTCCGCGCCTGCTACCGCGCCAGCTTCGCTTCTCATGCACACGCGAGGACCGCTACGCCCGAGGGGACCACCTCTGCCTGCGCCCCCTTGCCACGCCTGCTCATGAAACACTTGAAACATAAAACATTTTTTTGCAACATACGCCCGAAATAGATAAAAAGCATTTACAACATACGCTCGTAACATATGCAACATCACTACTAGATTTTGTGAAGTTCCTCAGTGTCTAAGGGCCCATTTGGAATACAGGAATGTAAAACAGAGGAAAGAAAAAAAACACAGAAACAGGATAGAGTGAAAAGTGAAAAACTACACAGAAATAAATACTTTGAGGTGTTTGGATTGCAGGAATAGCCTTGATCGTCATGTGTGTCCATAAGCACCGATTATATCGGTTGATGCATCCTAACACAATAATATTTAGATGCTTTCAACTAGTCATTTGGTATATTACTTTTTAATTCATCTAGACGCAGAGTAGTTAGTACTCTCTTTCTCTGTCCGGCTGAACCGTTCTCTCTCCATATACGTTTTTACCGTTTCGAGCACCTGGTGGTTCTTATCTTGCCGGCCGTTGATGAGTCTCTCTCTTCCTGACGACGGCGGCATGCATGGCGGGGGCGTGTGAGCGGCATGGCCGGCAACGACCGAGCGCGAGCACGAGCAGCCGCGGTGAGCATCGGTGTCAGCACGGACGGTAACTGCGAAGAAATCCAGGACGCACGATGCGCGGCGAGTCGCGACTGTCGACTATGGGGCCGTGACGAGCGAGCGATCAACAAGCAATGAGATTTCCCTTAAGTTCGAGCGGATTTTTTTTTCCTATGATTTGTACAGCATACGAACCCTTTCCTCAGGAACAGGACGCGGCCTTCCTGTACAAACAGCAACCTTTGAAACATTTCCTAAGAAATCCTTTCCTTTGAAATTCCTTTGGATTTCCTCCAATCCAAACAGGGTCTAAGAATTTTTCAAGTGTTTTATCAAATTACTCCGAGTGTTCTACGTTACACTCGGGAGATGACAAAGCACTATTCCCGTGTGTCTCCGTTTGCCTTCGGGATACTTTTTGTTTTAGATCCAGAAAGTTTAGTCGGACACAGTCAAAATGAACGGTGTCAGCGGAATCCCGAGTGTTTTGAGTAAGATGGCCTTTGGGAGTTAATTTTGCTAACGTGGCGTCAAAAAGTGGCGCCCGGCTGCCGGAAAGCGGTGCCCTTCCCGCCGCTCCTGTGATTTACGCACCCAACATTTTAGCTAGACCAAAACCCTCGAAGCCTCCGCAGCCAAGAAAAATTTCAGTCCAGCTGCTCGCACAACCTACCGCCACCATCGTCTCCGAACCCGGCGCCACCTTTATCCCACACGCTCCAGTTACCAGTGCTGCTCCCACTGCCATCCCCATGGGCTAAAGCTAGTAGCACTAACGGAACTCAGCCAAATACCCAAGTTCTAATTTCTTCCCCAAATAGCAGAGCTCCAGACCCTGTTCGCTGAAACTTATCAGCCCGTCTTATCAGCGTATAGTGTTTTTCTTTCCCAACAAATCAGCATCAGTCGATTTATCAGCCACAAACACCATCAATCTCTTCAGCCCACTCCGATTCTCCATACCTCGTTAATCCCCAGCTCTCTCACTACAGATCCGTGGTCCAACCCCTTCTCTGATGCAAACAGGACAGCCTATGGTAAGAGAGAGAGAGGCGGAAAAGGAAGGAAATTTTGCTCTCTT